AAATTTTATTATATAGAAATTATTAAATTGATGGGTCATATAATATAAAAAAAAATCAACAATTAAATTATGTGCCCAAATGGTGGGTTTCCACTTTTAAATTCAATTGAAACTTAAAAGAAAATTTGATGAAAAATCAATAAAGTTGGCGATATAAGACAATCATATAAGAAAATGTTTTTATAGATGTCCATGAAACACGTTTTGATCGATTAAAAGAATCTTTACTTAGAAACTATATATGAAACGCGTTTTGTATGCGGAAAACAAAGCTCATACATGTTGTATTAAAGTATCCTAGTATAAATCTCCATTTTGGCCCTTTAATTACTGAGTTGTATTACAGTATCCTAGTATAAATAATTTTGAAAATTTCTATTAAAATTTTGCAAATTCTAATCTAATTATAATGTGATTCAAACTAAGATTGCATTTTTCATTGTCAAATTGCCTTGAATGTTAAAAAGTCGTTAATTAGAGACCTATTCTTCAATTTATCATTATATATATATATAATTTGGTCAAAAACCTTTCTGCATAAAAGATGTTTATATTCAAACTGACTCTTAGCTGTGAAAGCACATGATCTTAAAATCAACTCAAATATTGATTTCTGCATAGATATTGACTAATTTATTATTGCAAAATGCAAATGATGCAGGTCAATCCTACCAGCATTAGTCAATACGTTCATAGCTTGGTTATTATACATCATTTAGATTAAAGTGATTAAGCTATGAAGGATTAACCAAACCCAAGTTTACGCAATAGAATTTAGATAAACACTACATTCGCTCTAAATTTATAATCTGAATCCATAAATATTAAAACTCAAAAAGGAATAATGTCAAATCCACAATAAGAAAGAAACAAAATTTTGGATTCAAATTAAGATTATGTTCCTTGCATGTCTACAATTTAAATGAGCAATGGAACCTATTTTATTTTGGGAAGTAAAATTATAAGACGTTGTTTAAGGGGAAGTATTTTCTCTTAAAACTGCTTATATTTTCCTGAGAAAGTTTATAGGCTCTGAAGAGAAACTTTTTTACTGTTAGGCTTGTGATGTTTGTGTGATTTCTTTTGCTTAATGATTGTACTTGGCTTCAGAAGTTGCTCAGATATCCACATGGGTTTGCTTTTTTCTGTTTCTTCTTCATCATCATCTGCAGATCACCCAATAATTCTGATAAAACTCCTCTACTATTTGTCTATAATTATTAATCTGATTTTAAGAAAGCTATGGAGAGATTAATTACTTAAATTCTGATTTTCTGAAATAAAAATTCTGAAAACCAATGGTTTAGTTAGTGGACTGATTATGATCACATAAGCTATGAAAAATAAATGACTTAATTACTAAATCATGTGAATTATACGTATATGAACAAATCTGAAATTCAGAATGAAGAAAATTTATAATTGAGAAGTAATACATGAACTATGCTAAAGCATATCCAAAAGCTCAATTCAAAGATCATCCATATGAATATTTCTTTTTAACTTATTTTTTATGAATATTTCTTTGTCTTTACTGCAAAGATTTTCAAAATGACTTGGACGAACATGAAGAAAAATCCTAATCAGACCCCACTCAATGCTTTGCTACGTAGCTTCCATTGCTTTCCCAAATTCTTCAATCCAACACACTAGAAATGTTAAAAATCTTTTTACATAAAAGATAATTATCAAAGAAAATAAATTAGAGTAATGGACCATTTACAGCCGGAAGATTTTGTATGCATGAAGTTATTCGTGTTGTTGCCTTAATAATTGCATATACAAGCCACCATTATCTACAAAGAGAAATGACGTTGAAAGGGAATGGAAAGATAAACTTAGAGAAAAGGCAAAAATATCTCTTTACTTGGTAGTAATATTAATTATTAGTCAACTTTGTGAGGCATTTCAGATAGCTCAGAGTTCTGTCAAAGATTCCGGTTGGAAGAAGTAATCTTCAATAGTTTGTGTGAGATTGAATGGTGGAAGGAACCCCTTACATTTACTAATTGTGTGAATTATGTATCTTTTGTGTACCTCGAACTATGTATATATTTACAAACTACTTTTGGTGCATTATGATGGTAGTTTATAAAATTTTATTATGAAAAGTTGTTGTAATCATTCTACTTAATCTTCTTTGATTGTTCTCGCATGCAAAATGATTCAGTGGTTGTTCATAAGAACTCAGCTCCAAGCCTGTTTCAGAATTAAAAATCTGCATCGCTGGTTGTTCTAATGTCTCTGTTTCAACTTTCAACTACTAAGTAATTTAATTGTTATGTTATATAAAACCCATTAAAACTAAAAAGAGAACAAAAACTTACATACAATTTAAATTATTGAAAAACTATTAAAAAATTCTCATTCTCAACATAAATTGGAGTTTAAGCAACAATCTCGTAAATTAAAAATCAAATCATTAATTCCTTGTCTCTTCTAAAAAAAAAAAAAAATTATTAAGTATAAAATGTTAAAGATAAAAGGGATCAACGCCATATAGTATATCAACAGACGACATTTCCTTAATTAGAGATGCATAAACAATGTAGTTATGGTGACATTTCACAACAAGATAATCGGATCATTGTAGCAATCCAACAAAGAAATACAAGTGAGGTAGCATTATCCTAATTACACTATAATGTTATCGTTAAAATAATGGCAAAAAAAAAAAAAAAAAAAAAAATACTAGCACTTCCCTTCCTAAACAATTAACTTTTACAAGTGATAATTTATCACGTTCTAAACTTGTAAGATAATTGTTCTACAAATATTCTGCGACCTTAATTAAATCCAAAAATTTAGGAATCCTACAAATGACATGGGATTTAGGATTCAGCGAAACTTTCCTCCCAAAAATAAAAATATTTGTTTATGTACAGGAGATGAAAGGGTTTTATTAATGAAGTCAATATTCAATAGTCAATTCTACCATATCAAACTTTTTCTTACTTCAATGAAATATAAATTTGTTCACACGATGAGTCTCCACCATCAATAAATTATTCTCATCAGGTCACATGAATAGAAACTAAAGAAATATTGATGGAAAATAAAGTTGCAAATTAATAGGATAAGTATTAAGAATGCGTTTTACAAACCATGAAACACGTTTTGAAAAATTATAAGAATCTGCTTTCACAATCCATTAAACGCAACAATTGAAGAAAATAAATTAGCTTATACTAGAACCATTAATATGTTGTGAAAATAAAGCTCAGTATGGATTGATCTTTCAAAAAGAATAAATACCTTTTTTGTTCTTTTTTTTTTACATAGTAAACGAAATGGGATTATACTTGTTTTTTTAGATCAAATCCAATGTTGGTTAATGCATCATCAATATGATAGATATTCTATTGGGATGCATTTTCTCTATTTCCTTTGCATATTCAGTACCCCATCTTAGCTAATTCAATAATTATTTCTCTCAGAGCTATAATGATATTAACTCCATAAAGTTTGATTAAATAATAAAATCTATTTTAAGTTTTCGAAATAGAAAAATTCTTTTATCCAATTATGTATTAAAATATAATTTAATAAATATTTATTAACTCATAATATTTTAAATTTTAACATTTTGACAAGATTCATTGTCTACCTCTCACCGTCTGTTAACTATCAAACTTATTAGATTTTTTTTGTGGGAAATAGTAAAAACCACCCGTAAGCCCTAACGTCATCCAATTTTGCAAGATAAATTTTTATAAAAGGATTTTCCTCTCAATAAGATTTTAACCTGATTCATCACTAGTTCATTATTTTAGCCAAATTAAATTATGTGTGAATGATACTTTTATTTTAATTTTAATTTTCATTGTTCGTATAATAATTTATATAAAATATTGTTGATACATACTTTGATTAGAGTTTTAAATTGAATATTTAGAAGTGCTGGGTCTGAATTAATGAAAGTGAGACCAGAATAATAATTTTACGTAAATTTCAAATTATAAGTTTAGGGATTTGGAATGTTGGGGCTAAAAGTGAGGGGTAATTTCGAAATTCTCGCTTGAAAAAGGGTTATTATTTTCTACATCCCTGAAACTTAAAAAACTCTTAACCCCCATAAACTTCAGAAACTGCCACAAACACTCCCCACAGTCACTTTTGGCCGTTAAACTTCAGAAACCATTTTTTTTTTTTTTTTTCCAAATTTCTTAAGTGTTCGTTTGCTTGTTTGATTTGTTGGTAAGGGTGAACTTGAATTTTTATTTTTTTATTTTTCAGATAAATGTTGTACAAAAATTATAATAATATTGTTGAAAAATTATAACATTTTACTCGTGCTCTTCGTAGTTTTTTTTTTTAAAGTTTCAGGGAGCGTGTGACTAACCCAAAAATTGAGGGAGATTTTTGATATTGCGAGCTCGAAGATATATCCGCATTGAATTTTAAAGAGATTAAAAAGCAGTTGCGGAGAGACCAATCTAATTTCTCTAATTACACAAAAAAAAATCTTATCTCTGATTGGTTACTTTCTTGAATCCCTTTAACACGTGGGGTCCGTTGATTCGTGGAACCACACGCCTAACAAAGAGAGGAGAGAAAAAAAGGGAGAAATTTTTAAAAAAGAGTTTTTTTTATTGGGTGGCGGGGGCCACACGTGAGTAGGGGAGACGGAATCTTCGTTGTGTACAGTTAAAGAGAAGAGCTAGAGGGCCTCATATGTTGACGCGTGTACAGTTCAGTGGGGCCAGTGGGGCCGAGTGGGGAGTTTTAGCAAAAGTCCAAATCCAGCTCTCTCTCTCTGATCTGATATTAATAATTAATAAAGTGCTTTTGGGGTAATGAGACAGAGGCACGTGGGATCGACGGGGCGGAACCCGCGTGCAAGGCCTAACTCAAGTGCTTTCTTCGTCTTTGCTTTTCTTCCTTCCTTCAATCTGTTAGACTTGTTACTTTTGTCGATGTTCAAGTGGTGGGTCGCCCCTGTAATCAATCATTCACTGTAATCTCTCTTCTTCTTCTTCAGTGTTCTTCTATCTCTCAATCTTTCAGAAATCACTAAAACACTTTCACTTGTAAACCTCTCTCAACTCTCATCCCTTCAGCTACCACAAAAAATACTCTTACTCGAAAACCAGATCGCTTGATTTTTCACTCCTCTCCTGTTCCCTTTTTTCTTGTTTACCAAAAAGAATCCTTTCCCATTTTCTTATTTTCCGTTTAGAAAAAAGAACGAAAAGATCTTCTGTATTTCGGTTTGCAGTTGTCCTGTTGCTTTCTCTGTTTTATTTTCTGCTATTTTTCCCCTTTTCCTTAATTCTTGTTAAAAAAAAAAAAAAAAAATATTTCAGCATTTTCGGTGTTTGTCCTCACCCCTCTTCTTTTCTTTGAGTTTGCATCATTGTTGTGTTGCTGTTATTTCTGTATTTTTCTTACCTCTTTTTTTTTGTGTGTTTTGCAAAATTGAAAGTTTGCACCCCCTAGTTGTCCTGCTTTAACTCTGTCTTAATATCATTTACTTTCTCTCTTATTTTTTTTCAATCTTAAAAAAAAAAAAAAGTGAAGGAGAAGGAAACAGTGTTGAGAATGGCCGATATCGCGAGTTTTGTTCTGGATGTTGTCAAGTGCTTGGCTGCTCCGGTTGGGCGTCAATTTATGTACCTGTACAACTACAAGAAGAACATTGACAATCTCCAAGGTGAAGTTAGGAAGCTGAAGAATACGAGAGAGGAAGTGCAAGTTAAGGTTACTGCTGCTGAAAGAAACGCGGAAGTGATCAAACAGAATGTTAAGGACTGGCAGACGGATGTTGAGAGGACCATTACTGAAGCAGAGCAGTTGATTCCAGAGGAAGGAAACAGCCCTCGATGTTTCAAGGGATTGTGCCCCAACTGGATCACCCGCTACAAACATGGCAAGAAAGCATTCAAGTTAAAGGAGAATGATATCAGTCAATTCCTAGATAAGAATAATTTTCCATTCCTACGGCTAGAAGATAATGTTGGCCATCCTACTATTTCTCAGGAGATATGGCTTAGATCTACCAAAGATTATGTGGCTTTGGAATCAAGAACTTCCACTGAGAAGAATGTTTGGGAAGCATTGAACGATGAGAGTATCTACATGATCGGTGTTTATGGGATGGGAGGTCTCGGCAAGACCACGCTTGTGCAGGGAGTTGGTAGGAAAGCCATGGAAGAACAACTCTTTGATGAGGTGGTTTTGATAGAAGTAACAGGAACTCCAAATATAGAGACCATTCAATCAAAAATTGCTCAAAAATTGGGTCTCAAATTGGATAAGGAGAGTGATGTAGCAGATAAGGCAAATAAGTTATATGAAAGATTGAAGATGACTAAGAAGGGTCAGAAGGATGAGAAGGGTAAGGAGGATGAGAAGGATATGAGGCCTGTGGAGATGAATAAGAAGGATGAGCAGGATGAGAAGGGTGACAAGGGTGACGAGGGTAAGAAGGATGAGAAGGATATGAGGCCTGTGAAGATTCTTTTGATTCTAGATAATATCTGGGAAGATCTTGATTTAGATGCTGTGGGAATTCCTTCCAAAGATGATCGTGGTGGATGTAAACTACTGCTCACAACAAGAAAACTTGAGGTGTTAAATAGCATGAATTCTTCCAAGAATTTCAAGATGGGTACTTTAAAAGAAGAAGAAGCTTGGAGCCTATTCCAGAAGATGGCAGGTAATTTAAGTTATAGAATTTTCACTTTTCTTCATATATTATATTTTTATTGAATTTCGTAATTTCTTTTTACTCGTACTATAGTCTTGGCCCTTCTACAAAATCTGTGTTATGGTTTCATGTGAATAAATAGAAAACTTAGACTATTAGTCTTAAGTAACGTTTAGACTAAAGGTTCAAACAAGTAACATTTTAAACTCGATTACTCATTACTCGATTGATATCAGTTGCCAGTTACCTGTTACCAACCTAACTAGCCTCCAAATTTTTACAAAAAGGTTAGGGCCTATAAAGGTTTTAGGATCGAATGAAAAGAGAAGCAGCAAGTTGCAAAACTTTCTAGAGAAACAAACAGAAAATGCAGAAAAAGTATCTAAGGAAACAAACAAGAACTTTGAGAGAAACTTTGGACACTTCCAGAACTGATTTCTTTTGTTAATTTTCCAACTTAGCTTACAAATGGTTCTTGAAACGTTTTTATACAAGTAAGAATCCACGCTGGCAATCCGTGTGACTCTTACAAATTTTGCAAAGAAACACAAAATGGTAGCTTCTCAACTGTTGATCAAATTTCCAGATTTTATAAAACTTCAGTTGAAGTACTGTAGCGTACTGTAGCATTAAAGTACTGTAGCTTTGCAAAGAAACACTAATCACTCAAGTAACTCATATTAACCATAGTCTCTGCCCAGCTAATGTAACTCATCTCAAGTAACTCTGCCCTCAATTAACCATAGTCTCAACATCCTCCCTCAAGCTAAGCAGTAAGAATTTGCTGCAAAAGCTTGCACACCGGAATTGCATCTCAATTAACCGTAGTCTCAACACGGCCATTAGACTGTAATAACTTCAATCTTTAACTTAATTTAAAATACTAATTAGTAACCATTCATAAATCATAATTTGTGTTGGAGAAGATGGGTTCCACAAAAAATATCGGAATGAACATTTTAATCGAAGAAGGAGCCTGGAGTCTATTCAAGAAAATGGTAGGTAATTGTTATAACTCATTTTAATTTGATAACACATCAAATTTGTGTTATGGTTTGATGTGAATAAGTAGTAATAACATGAAATATTTATAAATAAGTATAATTACTCTATTGATTGATAGAATAGTAGGTGGCTTAACAAGAAATCTAATTCCATATGCAGAAACAATACTTCTTTTTCCTGAGGGTCCTGAGCTAAATAATTCTGGTTTTTTAAAAACTGTAATTATTTTTCTTTTAAATTCGTAACCTATTTTTTTCTCTCTTTTTTTATTCATTTTTTAATCTGACTTTTTTAAAAAATAATCCAATAACCTTTTTTTTTTTCTTTCTCACTTTTAATTTCGTAATCTCCACTCCTGTTCTTCAAACCCAACAATTACCAACCTAACGCACGCCGTGCCCCACCCCAATCGGCAGCCATTGACAACCATCGTTTCACCCATTAGCCTCCCGTGCACCACCGCTACACCTCCAAATCATCGCCATCTCCTCCATTGCATCCACACCAGAGCCATCTCCATTGCATCCATAACACAACCATCGCCATTGCACCCATACCACAGCCCACCCTTTAGACCACCACCACAACAACCATAGAAAATCAGAGGACGACCATTGCCGCACCCATTGGCCTCCAGCCCAACACCACAACACGCAAAGTGCAGGACACTTCCATTACACGCACACCACAGCATGTCTCCATTGCACCCACAGCACAACACATCCCCATTGCAGCCACACCACAGAACACCACCCCTTAAACCACCACCACCACATCAGCCACAACAAAACCGCCACAACAAAACCAGATCACCAATCAAATTAGCTTCACAAGATCAACAACAACACCACCCATGTTTAAAACAACCTCCCTTGCCCAAATTGATGCATAAAAAAACCACCCAAGGTGTCGCTGAGTTTTCTCGAGGAAGAAGATGGGTTTAATGGGAATGGGGTGGGGGTGGGGGTGTGGCGGAAAGAAAGAGTGAATGGGTTAGGAATAGGCATGGCAATGGGGCGGGGATCTCATTCACCGTACCCATCCCCACCCTCAAAATCATTCCCCACCGCCGCCCCATCCCCGTTACGGGGATAACAAGAATTCCCCTTCCCCGCCCCAAAGGGGGATGTTGGAGGTTCGTCCCCGCCCCGTTAATTTATATAAACATAAATTAATTTGAGCATTATCAAACACAATAGTTAATTCTCATCCACATGACAAACACTTAAATTAATCATTTAAATATAATTAATTATACATAAATATGGGTCAGGGTTTATTCTTGTTCAATTGTTTAGGATGAGGGAAATTAGGAAAATATGAGTTTATACAGGTAGGATAATTGTGTAATTAGGTAAAATATAGGGATATTAGTGAAAAGTAAGTATATATATACATTTTTTTAATTTTATATATTATATATGGGGCGGGCCGGAGGAAAGGCATCACCCACCCCCGCCCCATCCCCGAGGACGGGGATTAAAACACCCCCCACCCCCGCCCCTATCCCCAAAAAAACCGGGGCTTCCCCGCCCCATATGGGGCGGGGCGGGACGGGTCCCCAAAATCTTGGGAAACATTGCCATGCCTAGTTAGGAATAAGGTTTTTAGGGTTTTATTTATCTTAATTAATACACTGTAAATATTCTCTGCCCTTCACTCTAGTTTTTCAGGGTTTTATATCGTTAATATTTAAATTAATTTTATTAGATGGCGTTAGTTAATCATTTTCAGCCTAAATTCACAGTAATGAGATTTGACTTGGCAGCTTTATTTTACATTTCCTGATTTCTCATCACTTTATTTTTCTTTTCTATAAATATTAGTCTTAAAGCTCTTTATAAGACAAATGTATTTCTATGATTTTAGAGATGAAGAGGAATTTTATTTGGAATTAAGCACAGTTTATTTTTATTTTCAAATATTTTTTATGGTCTGTTCAGAAAAAAGTCTAATAAGATTGTTAGAGGGAAAATAACAACATTTAGAAATTTTCTTGTTTAGAAAAAAAGTCTATACCCAAAACATCACCACTGCCTCTTCGAACATATGACATCACTGCTACCACTTTTCAAACCTATCACCACCATTAACAGTTATAACCATATAATTATAATCAGCAAATTTCTAATCATCCTACCAAAATCAAATTTTTCTAATAGTTTATTTTGTAATAATTTAATTTTTGTGTTTTAGTCATCTCCTAAGATTAAAGCAAATTATAAAAATCCCCTTGTGATATTCTAAATAACAAAAGAAAACCCTGACGTTAATTAGTTATTATAACCTTTGACATCTAACAATGATATAGCAATGGAATTCCGTATTTGCCCTTGAAAACGTTGCACAAAAGGGAAAAACTTAATTGTCCCTTTTATATAAAATATAAAGGGTTAGAAAGGTAGTTTCAAATATTAAATCTTGTTTTATCTTTTAGGTGCAACTTATTTATATTTAATCTACTTTTTTATTTTTTTAAATCTAATAACCGTATTTTTTCTCTATATAATTACACAACCATATAATAGTGTACATAATATAAATTTAATAATGTAAATTTTTAAACTTGAAAATGCAAATTTCATGTACTAATAAATGGCACTGTTTTGCTTTTAAGATGTTTTCACACCTTAGATCCTCTTAATTTCTACATCTTCAATCTTCTATTTTGAAATTTGTTACACTTCTTTTTAAAATGATGAAGATGAAATTTAAAGTATATTCATTAAGATAAATGTTTTAGACTAATTCTTTATATTTGAATTAGTTTTAATAGATATCATTTGTTAATTATAGTGCTTAGTGCAACTCCTATTTTAAAAACTGTCTTAAAGCTCTTGATAAGACAATTTTAGAGATGAAGAATGGAAAGGAGTACTATTTGGAATTAAATGCAGTTTATTTTTTTTTTCAAATATTTTTTTATGGTTTTATTTAGAAAAGAGTCAAATAAGATAGCTAGAGGGAAAATAACAACACTTAGAACTTTTCTTGTTTTTAAATCCAAAACATGTAAAGAGACAATGCAATTAGTATAATCCTAGCTTCTTGTGTAGGTGGTGTAATTCAAAACCGTGAATTGAATTCTTTGGCCCAAGATGTATGTAAGGAATGTGGAGGCTTGCCTATTGTCATTTGTACTGTAGCAAAAGCATTAAAGAGCAAGCGTCGTCCATCTGATTGGAAAGTTGCCTTGCAAGACTTAAAAGCTCCTTCACCAGCAAAGTTCATGGGAGTACTGGAAAAGGAATACATGAATATCGCCTTGAGTTACAAATATTTAAGAGATGATGAGCTCAAGAAAACATTTTTAATTTCTAGTCTAATGAAAAATAATACTTCCATTTCAGACTTTTTCATACATGTTGTGGGATTGGATATACTTGAAGGAGCTAACCTGAAAATGGAAGAAGCAAGGGATAGATTAGATACATTGGTTCGCGACTTGAAAGACTCTTGTTTGTTAACTGACGGTTTCACAAGCGAACAATTTGCTATGCATGATGTTGTCCGTGCTGTTGCTGTTACAGTTTCATATACAGACCACCATGTATTTACAGGGAGAAATGATGTTGAAAGGGAATGGAAGGATAAAGATAAGCTCAAGAAATGCACTAAAATCTCCTTAACTGATAGTAGTACAGTTATTAGTAAGTTATGGCCTAATGATCTGGATTGTCCAAATCTCGAATATTTCTCTATGACTAATATGTGGGGTTTCCATTCTTCTTTTGAAATCCCTAAGGACTTTTTCACTGTGATGCCAAAGCTCAAAACTTTAATTTTATGTGGAATGCATCAATCGTCGTTGCCGTCGTCACTTGATCTTCTAACAAACCTTCGAACTTTGTGTTTAAATGATAGCAACATTGAAGATGTTGCTATTATCGGAAAGCTAAAGAGGCTAAAAGTTCTTAGCTTGCGAAATTCATCTATTAACGAATTGCCAATAGAATTGGGTCAATTGACTCAACTAAGGTTATTGGATTTAAACTATTGTTGGCAATTAAAAGTTATTGTGCCAAATGTGATATCAAAATTATCTCAACTAGAAGAATTGTATATAAGGGGATGTTGTATTCAATGGAAGGTTGAAGTACTCGAGGAATTGAAGCTCTTGTCTCAACTGGCTAGTTTAGAATTAGATATCAAAGATAGCAAGATGTTGGCTAAAGACTTCTTTTCCAAAGAGCTTAAAAGGTACAAAATATCAGTAGGAGATTTTTCATCCCTATCAGGAGGAGATTGGTTATCCCTACCAAAATTGTCATCCCAATTTTCAAGATATAATGAAGATGTGGGTTTGAGGATGTTCAAATTGAAACTTAATTCTACCATCTCCTTAGAAGAATTACAAGGAATCAGGAATGTTGAACACTTAGTCTGTTTTTCAGATGTTGAGAATTGTTTGAATGATTTTGTCACTCTCATGCCACTTTTTAATGAAAAGGTTTGATTGACTATAACCTCTTGTACTTGTCTATTATATATATTCTTATTTTCTTATCTTATGCCTTTTCTCATTTGTTAACAGAGTTATCGTATTGATTTGTTTCTTCCCTTTTTTGTGCTTTTTTATGGTAATTTACATATTCATTTAAATTTCACTAGTAAATACTTCTCTTTTAATCTTGATACTACGTAATTTCTGTCGAATTGGTTTCATTAATTCATGCTTGATTCTGTTGTGAGTGAATGTTAAAACGGCGTCGTACTGAGTATTAGTGGAATGGTGTCGTTTTGAGACAGCTCCAAGATGATCCTGACCGCTGATTCAGAGAAAATCTAACGGCTGAAATCAAGCCTCCAGTCAACACTATAAAAGGATCAAGTCTTCACACAAACAGTAGATCAAAAACGAAAAAGAGAGAGAGCCGTTTTTTCATATTCTTTGTTCGATTAGGGTTCTTACTTTCTGGGTCTGATTTCAGTTGTAATCTGTGGATATCTTGAGTGGTTTGGGTTAATCAGTCAAGGGAAGAACTTCTGTGTTCTTGTTATAGGAATTTCCAGGTTAGAGTATTCCTAGGGCAAATTACGGGTTTGAATCAGAGTTGTTTGATCTAGGGTTTTGGGCGTATTCTTGTAATCGTGACTGTAAGTGATTGTTCAATAATCATAGTGTAGCGAACTCCCTTTTCGGAGTTCAACGTGGATGTAGCTTACTCAAATAGGGCAAGTGAACCACAGTAAAATCCGGTGTTGATTGTTTGTGTGTTTTCTTGTTTCTTGATTGTTTGTGATTATGTCTTGGTTGATTGCATAACAGATTCCATGATAAAATTTATTAGAGACAAAAAAACACATCGTAAATATTAATTGCATGTCATCTATAAATCCATAAGAATCAATTATTTCTTTTTTGAATTTATCTCATATGAGTTCGTAAATATTGAAACAACAAGTACTTTGATTGCAGGTTATTTTCACCAATTTGAAGGCCTTGGAATTGAAGTATATTAGTTGTGGAAAGATTTGGGATAACAAATTTGCAACACTTATGTCTTCCTCCTATCAGAATTTGACATGCTTTATCTTGGGGAAGTGTGGAAAAATAAAATATGTGTTTCCATCTTCCGTTGCCAAAAACCTCCAGACTCTACAACGCCTTGAGATAATGGATTGTGAGGTTCTAGAGGAGATTGTTGCGGAAGAAGAAGGAGCAAAAGCTGTTTTTAATTTTGCCTTTCCGCAGGTTACCTATTTGCAGCTTGAGAAATTGCCAAATCTTACAGCTTTCTATCATGGAATACATACTTGTGAATTGCCGATGTTAAAAGGGTTGGTGATCAATGAATGTGAAAAATTCACATCAAAATATCTAAGCTTCCAAGAAAATTCATTTCATATTTCAGAGCCAAAATCCCTTTATCTGAAGCATAAGGTACGAGTTTTTTATTTATTTTTTTATTTAAAAATAAAAAAAATTTTTTTTTTTTTTTTTTTATATTATTTATTATTTTTTAATTTTTTTTTTTTTATCTTTTTTTTTTTTTTTTTTTTTTTTTTTTATTAATTTTTAATAAATATTTTTTTTCTTTTGGTTTTTTTTATTTTTTTTATTTTGTTTTTTTTATTTTTTCTTTTTAATTTATTATATTTTTATTTTTTATTTTTTTTTTATAATTTTTTAATTTTTTTTTTTTTTTTTTTTTTTTTTTTTTATTTTTTTATTTTTTTTTTTTTTTTTATTATTTTTTTTTTTTTATTTTTTATTTTTGTTTTTGATAATTTTTTTTTTTTTTTATTTGTATTTTCCCAAAACCAAAGTCATTCTACTCACAATTTGCAGCTGCCAAATCCCTCCTCTCACAACATTGCTAGCCTTGCAAGTGGTGCGCGGCTGGCCAAGGCCCCTGCTTAATTTTTTTTTAATTATAAAATAATAAATATTTAATTATTATTTTTTTATATAAATTTACTTTTCAACTAAAAATATGTTAAAGTTGTATAAAATTATACCCTTATAAAATGTTAAATCTAACTATCTTTAATAACATTTAATCCCTTTTTAAAACTACTTTGGAACTTGTTTTCTTTTTGATAGCAGTCCCTTTATTTTTACTAGAAATTGTGTCTAACAAGTGATCCTTCTTATGATTGGAAATCATATCACAAATTCAAAGTTATTTAACATGATTTGGTAGCTGATTAGCAAAAAATCAGTTCAAAAAGGACAACACTAATTTAGTTACCATTAAATTTAAGAGGAAGAAAATTATAAGACATAGATACCCATATAATAATAGGGAGAATGACAAAAAGGACACCTTTTTACTATACCCACCAAAAAACAGGCCAGTTTTTAAAACATGTTTGGTTTTCATAGGTTAGTAGCGTCTTTTATGAAATTAATTTGACTAGTAAATTATAGAATCATATGTAATTATCCTTTGTTCTTCTCACAGTTAATTTAAACTAATTTCAATGATTCCATATTTAAAATTTATTTCTATTTTATTATAATGAAATTCATTGTATTGTCGTATTTACAATATTAAAATTCAACTACAATATGATGTTTCAAATCTATTTTAGTGTTTGCAATTAAATTTGAAAACATTTCAACAGTATATTAAATAATTTTCATTAATTATTAATTTCCTATACAATAATTTATTAATTGGGAACCTAAGGGAACCTAACTTTAATATTTCATCATCCACATTAACTATTAATTATTAATTGCCAAGGCCCGTGCATAATTTACTATTGTTTTTTTAGCTTTCTCTTCTTTTTTTGTATCTTTTAATTATTATAAAACTAATAAAGAAAATAAATGTCCAAAGTCCAACTTATAGTTAGGATGGGCCGGTTTTGTATGTTAAAGAAGATAAGATTGACATTTCATACCAAAAGGAAAGATTAAACAAGAACATTTCAAAAATAGAAGATAAAACTAGAAAAACTTAAAACAAAGCTAAGCTTTTGGGTTTGGCCTATGACTTTTGAGCCAATAACTAAACTTTTGTTTTAAGTATATAATTAAAAAGCTAATGGGATTTTGTTTTTGATGGATCTGTAGATCAATCATGATTTGGAGGTACTTGAATTAAGAAATGGTGGGAAAGGGATTATATGGCAAAGCCAATCTAAAGCTCTCACGATCAAAGGTGATGAGTTAGCAAATAATCCACTCCAACACTTTCAAAGATTTGAAAATATGAATAAGCTCAAACTATCTGGATGTGATCAAATCAAAGAGCTATTCTTTCCAAATCTTCCAAATCTTGAAGTTCTAGATGTACAGGACTGCAGTGAATTGATTTATCTAGCGTCATCCTCAACTTCTTTCCAGAATCTTAAAGCTTTGACAGTCGACAATTGCCATGAGTTGATGAAGTTAATAACACCTTCAACAGCAAGACTTTTTATCTTGACGAGATGTGGAAAAATAAAATATGCATTTCCATCTTCCGTTGCCAAAAGCCTCCATACTCTACAACGCCTTGAGATAATGGATTGTGAGGTTCTAGAGGAGATTGTTGCAGAAGAAGAAGGAGCAAAAGCTGCTTTTAATTTTGCCTTTCCGCAGATTACCTATTTGCAGCTTGAGAAATTGCCAAATCTTACAGCTTTCTATCCTGGAATACATACTTGTGAATTGCCGATGTTAAAAGGGTTGGTGATCAATGAATGTGAAAAATTCACTTCAAAATGTCTAAGCTTCCAAGAAAATTCATTTCATATTCCAGAGCTAAAGTCCCTCTGCTTGGAGCATAAGGTATGAGTCTCTTGTTTACTTCTTTATTGAAAAAGAAAAAAAAAACCTTATATATAACATAAATTAGAACTTAATAATTTGTTTTTTAACATCTCTTTCTTTTTTTTTAAACAAAAATTTAGAAAAAAGAAATAAAAATTAACTGTCTATTGGATTTGGACAATTTTGGTATAGTCTTGTCAATTAAACTCATTAAATTACTATGTTTAAATCATCCAATATAATTCTAGAAATTATCAATATGATTTTATTTTCGGATATTATCAATTGGAAGAGAACGTTTTGTTATTAATATTTTAAGTTCGTATTAGAGAAGATATAGGGTCCGTTTGGTTCAGTATTTATATCCATATTCCCAATCCTATTCCCCAAATATTGTTTGGCACATTATTCCAGAAATACTATTATATTTTTTTAATTACTTTTAGACCCCTTAAGCTTATTAATTTCATTAAATACCCCTAGAAAAAAGTTTAAAAATTAACAAAAACACTCCCATCAACCCATACTTGCCAGATTCCGACAACCACCGTCGGTGGTAGCCGAAATCTATACAACGGCCTACCTGCCGACCAGAAATGGCCAGCAGTCCACTGATCTGTCCTTTTCCGACTAGATCCACCACAGATCTGGTCGGAAAAGGCCAGATCTGGCCGTTAGCGACGGCCAAAGAAATGGTCTTCGTTGACGGTCAATGACGGCCAAATCTTGGCCATCGTTGACCGAAAATGATGGCCATATCTTTGGCCTTCGCTAACGACCAAAGATGGCCTTCTTTGGCCTTTTCCGGCCGTTGATCTGGCCTTTTCTGGCTAGATTCGTGGTGGATCTGACTAAAATAGGCCATAGCAACACGTTACAACACAGATTCGACCGGTCTGTGTCGTAACGAAATTTTTCGACCAGATTCCGATGGTGGTGGCCGAAATCTGGCACTACAGGTGGTGAGGGTGTTTTTGTCATTTTATATATTAGGGTCTTTAATTAAATTAGCAAACCTAAGGGTTTTTTCATAAAATTTTTAAGTTTACCTCGTAATACTCCCTTATCCAACTACCCAATATTATTCCCAAAATCTTATCCAAAATAATGAACCAAACTTACCCATAGATATTATCAACTGACACTTCCCCAAAACCAAAGTCATTCTACTCACAATTTGCAGCTGCCAAATCCCTTCTCTCACAACATGGCTGGCCTTGCAAGTGGTGCGCGGCTGGCCAAGGCCCCTGCTTAGTTTACTTTTATTATTTTTTAAATTATTATAAAAATAATAAATCTTGTAATTATTATTATTTTATATAAATTTACTTTTCAACTAAACATATTTTAAAGTTGTACAAAATTATACCCTTACAAAACGTTAAATCTAACTATCTCTAATAACATTTTATCCCTTTTTAAAACTATTTTGGAACTTGTCTTCTTTTGCTTATATTTTCTTAAAATATTATCCCTCAATTGATAACAGTCTCTTTATTTTTACTAAAAATGTGCCTAGCTAACGAGTGATCTTTCTTATGATTGGAAACCAGATCACAAATTCAAAATTATTTAACATGATGAGTGAAAAATCAATTCAAAAAGGACAAAATTACGTTAGTTACGATTAAATTTAAGAGAGAGAAAATTATAAGACATAAATACCCATATAATGATAGGGAGAATGACAAAAAATGGACTCCTTTTTTCTACACATGCCAGAAAAAGACAAGTTTGTTTAGAACATGTTTAGTTTTCATAGGATAGTAGTGTCTTTTATGAAATTAATTTGACCAGTAAATTAAAGAATCATATGCAATTACCCTTTGTCCGTCTTACAGAAAGCGAAACAGAAGCAGTAATGAAGAAACAAGGTTAGTGGAAGGTGATTGAGTATGGAGGGAGCAAAATGGGCTTAGGTCCAATTAACAATCCCCAAATCTAAAAGAATCCAACAAACATAAGAGAAGAAGCAAATCTTAAAATGATATAATGTCAAGGAGATTCACAAAAACCATGGGGTGAATGTGACTATGACATTATCAAATTAATTAACTTTTTAAGATTTTCCTTCGAAAAGAGATTTAACACCTTTTCATATTCTTCTCTCTGACCAATCATCTAATTCGTTATTGTTTGAAGATCCATGAATCTTCATTTATAATGAAAGTGGATACTGTTCAGAAGCCATAGATTTTTACATTATTCGAATAATGATAAAAAACTAATTAGATTTTTGTTTCAATGGATTTGTAGATCAACTCTAATTTGGAGGATTTGTATTTAAAGAATAAGGAGAGACAGATTACATGGCGGAGTCGATTTAAAACTCTTGAGATCATACATGATGAGTCAGCAAATATTTCATTTGGGCTCCTTCAGAGATTTGAAAAAATGGAAGTGCTTAAACTAATTACGTGTAGATACGAAGAAATGTTCTCATGTGGAAAGGATGAGAAACATATGCAGATCACTCGAAGACCATCTTAGTTTCTTTCCAGAATCTTAAAGTTCTGAATGTAAGTTAGTGCAGAGAGTTGATGAAGTTAATGACATACGTTCAACGGCTAGGAGCTTGGTGCAGTTGAGAGAATTGAGTGTAGAGGGATGTGAAATGGTGATAGAAATAGTAGAAAATGAGGGAGATGCAATAACAAGTATTGAAATTGTTTTTGATAATTTGAAGAAGTTTTCACTTCTATGCTTAGAAAGTCTTACATGCTTTTGCTCTGGGAATTACTCTGTCAATTTCCCATCTTTGGAAGAGTTAATGATAGAAGAACGCCCCAATATGAAGACTTTCCCTCAAGGAATCTTAAGCACACCAAAGTTACACAAAGTCAATTATATGAGTTGGAATATGACTAAAATAGAGTCGGAGACAATGGAAGTAAAGAATAAGGGGAATGACCTTGGAAGTAAAGAATAAGGGGAATGACCTTAATACAATCACACAACAAGCACACAAAAAAAGAGGTATATGCATTCATTTAATTAGTTTAAATATTTATTTTATAATAATATTATGTTTTTAGGGTTAATTATAATAAAATGTTTTTCAAAGTTTGTTTGTGTATAGGTATTGTAATGCAAATATTGCGTTAGAATAAGAATCACATATTTCCTTCCAGCATTGGAAGCTGTAATCTAGTGGTTGCGTTTTAGAAATGTATTTGAGAGATGTTTTTTCTTTATTCTATTTAATTATCTTATCTTATTTTTTGTCTTCACCTGAATGTGTTAAAGCAACGTCAGTTTCATTATCCAAGTAATTGGACTAATTACATGGTAATTGTAAGCAAAAAAAGAATGTAAAAAGAATATCTTTTTCTTGCTTAATATATATATATATATTATATGTTTTTATGGGAAATATTAATTTTAATTTGATTGATATGATTTTTCTTTAGGCTGACTCCAATTTGGAGGAATTGACATTAAGTGGAAGGGACATCATGTCGATTTGGGTAAGAGAATTTCAAGAGAGCTTTGGCAAAGTAAAAACTATTCAATTGATTAATGATGTATATGCAAACATTTCAATTCAAATCCTTCACAAATTTAACAGTCTTGAAGAACTCATACCGAAAGCGAGTTCATATGAAGAGATATTCTCGTTTGAAGAGGATAAAGAACACATTGGAGCACTCACAAAATTAAAAGATTTAGAATTGCGAGGACTTTCAAATTTAAAGTGTATTTGGAAACAAGACTCCCGATTGAACTCAGTTCTGCAAAATCGTGATTGTCTAAGGGTGGAATATTGTCACAAATTAACTACTTTATTGCCATCTTTAGCATCTTTTGAAAATCTGAGGACTTTGAGGGTAAACTATTGCAATGGAATGCAAAACTTAATGTCATCCTCAACAGTCAAAAGTCTAGTGCAGTTAGAAGAGTTTTTTTATAGGTAAATGTGAAATGATCACATAAGTATTAGCAAATGAGGGAGATATAGAGAAAGGTAAAATTGTTTTTGAGAAATGGAAGGTGTTGTACTTGTATCATTTAGAAAGTCTCACATGCTTCTACTGCTTTGAGGATTACACCTTAAAATTCCTCTTCTTGGAAAGATTATTTGTGAGAAGATGCTCCAAGATGAAGACTTTCTCTAGAGGAGGGTTAAGCATGCCAAGGTTACAAAAGTTGAACGTGAGAGATTGTTCAGAAAGTGACATTGATACAATCACATAACAATTACAAAATGGTAACTACTTATTTACTTAGCAATATACTTTTTTCGTACACTTCTTCGTTTTCTTTCATTGAATTAATACTAGTCAATCCCCAATGATCTTTATTATTGATTTTATCTTTAATTAAATTCCTCTAAGTGAATCAATTATAGACTATCAAGTATATATAGAGAAGCTATTATATTATAATTTATGTTTTCTTAAAATTAATTTATACATGTTTTTGAAGCATATATTGAAGTAGTTGTTGGGGAAATTCCTCATTTTCTTGTTTAATTGATAAATTATGATCAATTTAGAGTCTAAAATAACATTCTCTACAGTTTTTGCTTTTACTATTAATATGTTGTTCTTTATGCTTATAGATTGTTCACAATTATGAAAAAGATTCCCATGTCCATATTAGTTCATCAACACACAACGAAGTCATGTGATAAGTGTATGGTATTAGATAAGTTGACATTTCTTTTCAAATATAATTCAAAAGAATATAAATAAGTTGCCTAACACTTGACTATGCAATTATAGCATTTCTCTTTCATATATATTACAGTATTAATATTTTCTTGAAAAATAAAAGATTATAAAATATGTTTACTTAATATTTATTAATTTATTTAATTCTGAAGTTAGTGTAAAACATATAAACTAAAATTAATGGTACTGCCATTCATTAAGAGGGAAGCACTTTTGTTTTCGTATGTAGAGTTTTAACCCATATGTGCATAATAATGTTCCATTTTTTTCCTTCATGTTATCAGGCAGAATCGAGCAAAGGCTATTGAGATTCTTGTCTAGGACCTTAATGTTTTTGCATCCTTCAATGAAGAACTTTTCAAGGAGATTTACCCAGCTTCTTACACTTGATAACTTTAGGTGACTACACCATTCTTTTTAATTGGTATGTTATGCCATGAAAATTTTGGTTGATTTTTTCTGTTGCACTTTGTGATCAGGCAAAGTGGGTAGCTTTCCAAGTATGGAGACACAAAGTCGGTTAGCAACATTATGCTTGTAGAACTTAAAAAGCTAATTGAAGCAAATCCCCTGTTTCGTGACAAGCTTACATTCCCAGCCTCCAAAAGTTCACAACTGAGGACATTAATAAACCAGAGGTTATTCTTGAATATTTTCATATCGGTTAATTTTCTTGTGCCAGTGTGCAGCAGCAAGTTTTTTGGTAAAAACAAACCTAGAGAATGCATTTTGCAAATATTTCTATGTATTAGTATATTATATATTAGTTGATTTCTACTTTGGGTTTGCACTTTTGCTCTTATATTTGTAAGGTGATTGATATCATTTACACTTGCAGATGATATTACCTCCTCCTGATAGACTTATTCTATAGAACTCACTTCCTTTTGAAAAAAAAAATTCAGTTTAAATTAGCAGCATCAACATTGCAGGAATCCTCGTCCAAACCCTGATATTAAAACACTCTTCACTGATCATTCTTGCAACCCTATGGCTAATGGAGCCTGCCCTCCTCCTACAAACAGCCCAACTTGTGGGACCAACTCCTAAGGCTGGTGCATTTCCGCCTATTGGTGCTCATGGTGTGAGTATTTTGCATCTATCTACCATATAAAGCATTGGTGCATCCTGAAATAATAATTGTAATGATTTTACTGTGCAGCCTTTTCAGAGTGTTGTTTCCCCATCTTCTGGTACTATTGCTGGTTGGATGTCAAACAATAGTCCTTCCTTACCTCACCCTACTGTGGCAGCAGGCCCCCCCGGTCTTGTGCAGTCTTCTAGTGCTGGTAAGGACATTTGTAATTGTGTAGTTTGCATTGTTTTTTCCCTCTTTAGGCTTTATATGTTAGGTTGAATTACTCTAATCTTTTATTTATTTATTTTTATTGGGATGTCTACAGCTGCATTCTTGAAACATCCAAGGATGCCGACAGGTGTGAATGGGATGGATTATCAATCAGAGTATTCAGAGCATTTGATGAAGCGTATCTGCACTGGCCAATCTGATGATGTCTGGATGAGTGACATAATCTATTGTTTTTTCAAGCTTGAAAGCTGCTATAAATTTCTAAATGGCCTTTATATCAGCTGGTTGTAACAATTCTCTTGTTCCTTTCTCACCTCTTATTATCTTTTGGTTTTTCTAGGTGTCTTTTTTTGGTGTAGCAGATACTCCCTATCTATATTCCCAAGATAACCTTACTAAAGCCATTGTGCGAACCCTTCATCAAGGATCTAATGTCATGAGCATGGACTTCCATCCACAGCAGCAAGATATTCTTCTTGGTAAAAAAATAGAAAAAAACCACTGTTTAATGACTGATCACTGAAAAATTTATAAAACTTTTTCCAGAGATTATTTATTATTGATTGAAATTTTTGTTCTTTGGACTGTAGTGGGGACAAATGTTGGTGACATTAGCCTTTGAGAGGGGGGGTTAGGGGTTCTGGGGATTGGCACACAAATGAAAGCTCTGTGCGTACCTAATTCTATAGCACCAAGCAAGGTAGGTGGTAAAGAATTCAAGTATTTGCATGTTATTTCAGTTGGGAAGAAACCCCTCTGCTTCTATGGTACTGGATATTTTCTTTGTAGTTGGTTATTTACTGCCGTTTGTGTGTCTGTGCTCATATATGATATATTTTATAAGCTATGCAAATCATATGCAACCATATCTTTCGTTAATATACCAACCGTATATTCTAAAGAATAAAATGCATAATGCCAGGAACTCTGGAACGTTAAGTTAAATGCTGGAATGCTAGTTTAAACCTACTCATCTTATGTGCTAACCTTTCTTTTGACATGCTTCTGAGGATGATGGTATGTGGACTGTCAATTCACATGGTAATGCCACCTTAGTCGTGAAGTTAGGGCATAATACACCTTCTCTGCATGGTAGTGCTTGTTTCATGGATTAACAACGTAGGAGAGGACTGACAAAATAAATTTAAACTACATGACTTCTTACAAATAGACACAGAAGAAGAAACATATCAAGTTCATCAAAAGCTTAATACCAATCAATGTATAAATAGCCAAATAAAACATTAGGCATAAATTATGTGAAATACATTGGTAATTTCCCCTGCATTTAGGCCTGGGATACACCAACTCTGGTCTAGCTCTATTGGCCCTTACCGCCAGCACTGTTCACAAGCTTTGGAAATGGCAGTGTAGTGAAAGGAATCCCTCGAGGAAGGTTTATTACTTCCCATTTGCAGATTTCTTTTGTTTTTATATTTTGACCTTTTTAATGTCAGTTGCAAACTCGTCAGGCTACTGTTTACATAGCACCCTAGTGGAGGCAACCTCGCAATGGAACTCTTATGACCAATGACATAAATAATGGTAAACCTGTTGAAGGGGTCTGCTGCATGCATCGCTTTATCCGAAAATGATTCTTACGCTATGTTTGCTTCTGGAGGAAAGGTTTCCTTGTTCAACATAATGACATTCAAGGTAAGTTGTTGCACCTATCCAAATTTGAAGTCTGTATTTCATACATGTTCAACAATATTTGTTTGAGATAATGCTTTTGCAATATTTTGAGGTTCCACGACTGAATAAGATTGCTTACTGTGTCTCAAGTCATGACAATGTTTATGCCCTCACTTCCGGCAGCTACCTATTTCGCATTCCATCCTCAAGATAATAATGTTATTGCCATTGGGATGGAGGATTCTACCATTCAGATATACAATGTCAGAGTTGATGAGGTGAGGTTTCTCACTTGATCTGTCGTTTTCTTTACTTAATTTCTGAAGCTAGTTTTATGTATACCTGGTCAAAGGATATGTTCAATTGACTTTTGCTCCATTTATTGCTAGTGTTAATTTATGGTTGATTACGATGATATTTTGAGATTGTTAATATAAATTTTATTCTGGTTTGGCTGAATCATTACCTATATCATACAGTCTGATTTATGCTTCTTAGCTCAGTTCATTAGAGGGAATGTCTTATTGTTACCATCTTGTTTTACGGAATTGATGGTTAGTATAATTCCGTAAGAACTATTGAAATCAATTTTTTTTTTTTTTTTTTTTAAATGAAGCATATCATCTTCTTGAACAAACGCAGATGTAACAAAAGTACAAAAAGGCAAACCTGAGTCCATCACAATAGAAAAAACCTGCTCAAAAATTGTCAAAGCTCAAGTATAGCTATCTTAATAATCTAATCAATAGCTCTCTTGATTATCTAAAGCTTATTACGTGACATGTAATGAGGAAGGATAACTAATGTTGGATGTTGTTGGCAGTTCAAAATCAAACTTAAGGGTCACCAAAATTGAATCACAGGGCTTGCCTTTTCCCAAACTTTAAATGCACTGGTGTTTTCAGGGGGTGATGCTCAGGTTAGTGCCTGACTAATATGAAATTTAATATTTTAATGTTTATGGCTAGTAGTTGTTCTTAATTATGTTTAATTGGGATGCTATAAATTTTTTGTGAAGAGTAAGAAACCTTGTAACATTTGAACCATTAAGGGTTTGCCCTATGAACCATTATCTGGGAAGCAAATTACTTTATATGAAATCGAAGTCACAATTTGAGATTGATCTTAAGCCATTTAGGGTAATCAATGCCTGCATACATGAGCCTTTTCTTTGGTAAAATTTCAAAACATAGTTGAATTACTATGTAAATATAGTTTTCTTGGATGTTACCTTCTCAGCAATAGGTGTTGAGTAAGTGCCCAAATATAAGCTGTCGTTTGAATAGGTGAAGTTGAAGATCTTTCCCTGAAAATGCTCTTTTAGAATTATTTTTGAACATCAGTCAGGTTATTTGGTTAGTGTCATAGCTTAAATACCATTATTGGCTCTTATCTATAAGCTGAAGCTTTTGATATGGCTTTTAGATCACGTGGTTATTTAACATGGTATCATGCCAAGTGAGCCAAGTAATTTGAGTTCAAATCTCTTAGCTTTAATGTTAAATCAAAATAAGTTTACTACAAGTTTCAAACATGGCTTCCCCCACTCACGTCTAAATGCTATTGAAGTTCAATCAAGGTTCCAAAAATCAAGTTGAAGCTTTCTCTTTTTTGTTATCTCTGGGTTTCTGATTTCCCTTTTTTAATAATTTATTTATATTCAATTAAATTGATGTAGCTATGTACGCGGAGTATTGATATATGGGAGAAGCTAAAATCAAGGTTCATACTAGCACCAGCTGACCATCAATCCCCTTTGGTCAGAAAAACTCAAAAGTCTAGTTTCATAATGATCAAACACCTGTTGGTGGTTGTAGTTTTTCTTCAGTTGTCTCTCTCCAAGTAAACTTACCGGCCATGATCTCATTTCTAATAGAGTGGAAAGATCGCATCACAATAATTAAGGTCAATGAGACCCCAAATCACATCCTGGTTGTTTGCATAAAAAATTTAGTTATGTAGCTTACTATCGTCATTGTACTCAGTCCACATTGACTCACTAGAGTAAAATTTACTACTTTAATGCCTTTTAATGGATAGTATATTAGCAGCCTTGGCCTAGTGCGTGGCTTATCTCTCTAAGCTATTTGTTGGAAGATTTATTGATGGTGCTGCATACATGTCTGGCAAATCTTACTATGTCTTTTACATTTCCAAGTAATGGAGAATTAATAAGATCTTCTAATGTAAGAGGTTAAACCAGTCAATGTGAAATTTCACGAATACTGGCTCATTTGTACATGTGGTATCCATATAATTTATTTTAACATGTTATTTTTCAATCTCTCTTATCATGGTCCTTATGCTATGCTTTTATAACTTGTAGTGGTCTCCAAAAGATACACTCCCTGCTCCCATTTCAAGTGCAATATATTCATGTGATGGTTTACTGGTGTATGCTGGTTTTGTGACGGTGCTATGGGAGTTTTTGATGCGGATCATTTAAGGTTCAGATGTAGAATAGCAGCTTGTGCTTACATACCTTCCTTCTCTTTCAGGTAAGTGGACCTTTTATTCGGCGAATTCTGAACATTCAGTTATTTTGTATAAACCAGTTCAGATGTTTCAAGGCATTTTTCGTATATTCATTGTATCAAAATGTCGAAGCCCATAAAATCAATCACTCATTGACAATGTATATTGTGCAGCAGCAACACTACCATATAGCAGCACATCCATCCGAGCCTAATCAGATCGGTCTTGGCATGAGCGACGGAGCAGTGCATGTAGTCGAGCCTTCTGATGCAGAGCTGAAGTGGGTGGCACACTCTCCCAAGACAACGGCTCCCTCCCTTCTAATTTGTCAAATCCTTCCTTGAGTGGTCAACCATTCGTCAAAACCTTTAAAAAATACGAAAAAATGGTCAACCGTTGGACAAAAGGAATTGTAAGTTCATGTAGAAAAATACCTTTAGAATTCACAGGACTATGAGTATACATAATACCTTTATCCTTAAAAGTAAGATTTATCATCTATAACTGAACAGTATACTTGTTTACACTTCATTTGAATCCACTCAGTATTTCTTTTTATCAAGCTTAAAAATCTTCAAATAGAATCTTTGATATCTACCGCTAGAATTGGCAAACGAGTTGCCAAAGTATAAATCATACACAGAAATGAGATGATTCAAAAATTAAATTTTTATATTTCAAATTGAATAGATATTTCAAATTTCTAACCAAAGCAGATCCAATCAGTCAAAATCAAAATATCAAATTAAAATCATTTTTTTTTTTTAATGATTTTGAGATGATTCAAAAATTAAAGTGAATTTTGAGGAACCCATATATCAAAATCTCATTTTGGGTAATTATCTCATGTTTCAAACATCTTTAACAGGACTTATAAGATTATATAGAAAAATCAGGGGAATTTTTAAAGTACAAATTAACTTTCACTAATCTCTCCAAGTAATAGCTCTCCAAGATACAATACAAGTACTAATCTCTGACACTGAGCAGTCAACATTGTTACAAATTATTCAGAAATTAAATGCTCAGGAGCAATAGCCGTACAAGTAGCAATATTATTATGCTTCATAGCATTAAGAGAATACACCAAATTCACCATGAGAATGCTAATATTATGTGGAACTGAAGAGAAATGAGTGGCAGTGGACTGGTAGCAATCAGTTTGAACTAAGCAATAGAATCCTCCCCTAATAATTCCTTGAAGAAGGAGAATCTTTGTGTTCTTGTCCTTTATCAGACAACGTTGATCAGTAAACTAAATATACATAGGATTATCATGTAATAGTCGAGAAATACTGATTAATTTTTTAGTAATTTCAGGTACATGAAATACTGTTAAAATCCCACGGGAAAAAGGGTGGACATGTGGTTTATAAAGACTTGGACACCCTCCCTTGGTAAGCCGGTTTTCTAAGAAGAATTTTAATGAAACACACAAAGAGCCCATTGTTTAGCCCAATTATTTGAGTTGTTGGAGTGGTTCCTATTGTTTGCCGGCCCAATACTCTCTTTAAAGTTAAGTATTGATTAGAAGCATGACTCAAATAAGCAAAGCCAATATGTAGAATGGATAAAAGTTGACCATTATGATCAGAAGCTCCACTATCAAGATACCAGGATCCATCATCGACACTAGCTGGTGAATCAATATAAGCTTGAGATCGTGGTGGTGATGCAATGACTGAACCATTTGAGAGTTGGAAGCATTGGAGTGTGAATTTGGACTTGAAATAGGTCATTGAAAGCAGATATCAAACCTGCGGTAGCACTACATTGCCACATGGCCACTCTTACCACAGAGTTGGCAAATTTGCCTACTGCGACCACCTGATGTTCATCCTCGACCCTGTAGCAACTCGAACAAAGTATTGACAATTCTCAAATGGTGGTGACCGATACTGAGGAGTAAAAGATAGTGAACCAGTAGAATTAACAATTTTTTTTTTTTTTGTTAGTACCATACAGTGCTAAGCTACCAGGAACATCATTAGAATGTGAAGGAATTTGACAAGCAAGACTATTTTCATAAGCCTGTAGTTCAAACAAAGCTTCTTCAAATGTAAACAACTTATTTGGTGAAGCTAAGGATGTCAAATACACAACCATTGCATCAAATTCAGGACCTAAGCCACTTAAAATATAAAGTATGAGTTTTGAATATGAGATATCTGTGCCAACTATGAGAGCATATCAGCAGCATCTTTCATTTTCTGAAAATATTCATGAACACTTAAGAGAACCGTTGGTTCTGGTATGTCCAAGATGCATCACTTGTGTGATAGTCAATCTGTCCAAAACAGTCCAAATTTCACAAGCCGACATACTCTTAACTCCATGTCGCAACATTGACTTAAAGACATTTTAGCCAATTCACAATTAACTGGTCCATTTGACTAATTTATGTCAAGTGGAGGAATTCATTAATGAGGTGGTAATAATATCTCAAATTAATCACAGAAATGTGGTTCAATTACTAGGGTGTTGCTTAGAGACAAAAGTTCCAATTTTGGTTTATAATTCATTTTTAATGAAACTTTATTTTATTTTATTATATTCACGACGAAAATGAGGAATTTCCAATCACATGGAAGTTACGCCTACACATTGTCTTTGATGTTACAGATGTTTTGTCATATCTACATTCAGTTGCTTCCATACCTATATATTTTCGAGACACTTAAGTCAACAAACATACCCTTGGATTACAAATATCAGCAAAAGTTTCAAACTTTGAGACTTACAAATCTGCTATAATTAACCAAACTTATTTGACAACTCAAATACATGAAACCTTTGGATGTGTAGATCTAGAGTATTTTCAATCAAATCAGATTACTGACAAAAGTGATGTTTATAGTATTGGAATAGTTTTTGCTGAACTCTTAACTTGACAAAAACCTTCTTTGCTCATCCTACATTCAAATATGACATGAATAGGTAGTTAAAAACCTAATAAAAAATGAACTAAGACCATGATCAGCACCAACTGCTAACAAAATGAAAGTAACAAAAATATAAAACGGAAAATAGCACTGACTCTGAAGTTAGAACACCCGGTTCCAAGCAGCATCCAAGTAAGCAATGCAAAGCCTAATAAGTGTGATACAGACTTATCTAGATAATAGCTAATCCACATACAATATAAAATTCTCGTGGCCCAATTACACTAATGGTAAGAGGAATACTATCTAATTTTTCCATGGCCAATGCATTAGGGTCTGGTTTTGATTAATGCCACCAATCTAATGGCTGATTGACTGCCATTGTCACAGTACACCTCATCATTTGAAAATTACAAACTCTGATCTGGTCTTCAGGTTTAAGTTTGATTCTCAACTTCGGTTCGAAAAATTCACTTCCCAGGGAATTCAAAATTCAAAAAAGATTACCAAAGACAGATCTTATGACATATGATAATATTGAACAACCATACCTATCACATTTGTTTGATACTGAAGGCTCAAATTTAGAAGGAAGATTAAAGAGGTGTCCAAAAAAGTGTCAAATTACAAATGTAGGTCATCGCTTTAACTGATTGATTGCCAGAGACCATGAGATCAATCTGCACAAACAATGAGCAACAAGCAAACAATTAAATATCAATTTCAGACTACATATTGAAGCCAATTAAATTTGCCTCATAATACATAAAATTGTGTACCCAGAAATCAAATTATATTCCTAGAAACTTTCATCTGAGCCACTAACATACTTCAGTTCCAATGCATCAGCTTTTTTCAGTTCTTCATCTAGTATGAATCCAAATCTTGCACCTAATATGAAAACAAACGACAAAAGCTGGCGTGAGAAGCGAGTTTGAGAAAAAAACAATTAAACAAGCAGGACCATGGTGAGATCATTTCTCCAAATCTAATCATAAGGTGTACCAAGAACCTTATGCAGTATAAAAAGATTGGCAATAAGATGCTACGGTTAAAATATGTTAGGCATTCACTCAATGTTCACCATTTGCAACAGTCTCACCATGCTACCACAGAATTAGTCGTCAGAAAAGCAATAACTAAAACAAGAGCTTGATATCTAATATCAAGGCTAAGAAAAATTTGTTATTCCAGTGACTGATGCCAATTCAATATCTTGGTAAGAAACAACGACTGAATTAACAACTACTAAATTGCAGTAATGGCTTCCTTAAGATCCAACACCAGTTCTCAATATTTACATTACAAATAGTCCAATTTGAGCTTAGTGCTGCCAGAAATGTGAATGAAATCGTGCAGTTTGTAACAATTTTTTGTTACTTCTTGATGAGCATATCTGTGTGTGTGCCTATAAAAGCATCAACTGATTTAGTTAAAGATGCACTGGAAGGGAAAAAGAGGTCAACAGTGATCGCCAAGTGAGACATTAACTAAAATTTATCTTGAAAATTTCAGAAAGTACCAAAATGAATAGCTCAAAGAACTCGAAGGGGATCATCCAAAAATGTAGCTTTTGGAGGTAACAGTCACAATATTCCCAGATTTTAGATCTTCAATTCCTGAAAATGTTTTATAAAGAAGGAAAAATAATAAAAATGAGAAGTTTAACTCTCTGGACAAGTGCTTGAAAAGATAGAAGCAAATGAAAATCCGTATCAACCTCTTCCTGTAAGATCTTCAACAGAGCTGGTGTTGATATTGTAGAACAAGCTTCCGAAGGGAAAGTAAACCCATTATTCCAATAATATGGAATTACCTTCAAAGTATGTGTAGAAAGAAGTCCAAGGAAGCTGTATATAACCAAAAGAAATGATTTACAATAGACAAATTCTAAGCATTTAATGAGTTATACCAACTACCAAGTAAAGCCAAATATTGACAAGATATGAATTATTCCAAGTGATGACTGTTTCAAAAACAAATATAAATACTATGGTTTTAATCTTCCATTATAGAGATTCTGTCATCTATAGTACATAGGAAAGAAAAGATATCTAATACTGGTCAAATCCCTTTAACAAGCATCTTCTTTTGCTGTGCCAAATTTCTGCAAATTACTACATCCTCGTCTACGCTTATAAAATCATTCCAAATTGAGAAAGCAAAACTGATATTACTAAAGGATTACAAGAAGTTTAAGAGAATATAATAAAGCAGAAAGCTTCTTAGCACTAAATACATACATTTAGGCAAAAAAATGTGAACACAAATGAGTAATAAAAATCGCAAAAGCTATTCTTGCTGTAGTCTTCACATCTTAAGTTTACAAAATCAATCATTAAAACAAAAAGGTACATCCTTGCCGTCTCTAAGTGTTTGGACTGATCTGGATTACTGGAAAGTAAAATTAAACTGTAAAATGGCCAGAAGTAACAAAATAGCACACAACATTTAAAAAATTTAACATCCGTAAGCCCATGGATACAATCATTACATGAAAAAGTGAATCCAGCAAACATGTTCTATCCAGCAAACATGTTCTATGACATGAACATGGATATGCATTTGCAAAAGAAAAAATCTAAATAAGGATAATGAATGGAAAAAGGAGAAACAAATTACAAAAAGGGAGAGGAAAGCCGTCAAAGATAATTATATAGAACAAAAAAATAAGTCATAT